TGAGCGCTGTTCATCTCACCTCCAGGGTGGTACAGCCAGGTCTGTTCTCTAAAAGGAGAGCTAGGTCACAACAGCTTAGACTGAAAACGGTGGCATTTTGGTAGTAGAGTCTGCAGTCTGGGTGGACGTGTGATTTTTTTCTCCTCTTTGTCTTTGTTGGTCCCAGTCTAGTCCTTCTGCTTGCCCCACTTCTCATGTGAACTGGAGGCTCACTTTGGTGGATCACTTCAGCATTAGTGCTGGGGCAAATGAGAGGATGGGAATAATCTGGCAGGAATAAGCTAATCCTTCTTTTGTGGGGAATAGCCTGTTCTTAAAACAATTCCGGGCTTGCTCAGCTGCTTTTGAACATAACAGCAAGTGTCCAGAAGAGCAGACTAGTATGGAGGTGTACTGTCACTCCCTTCTTAAACCTCCTTGGAAAAGTTTGGAGCTTGGCTATGATGTAAGGTAGGAGTTTGCCGGGTGCCTGTGGTGCTCCCCTTCCCTCCCTTTCTCCAAGACCGGGGCTGCCTCAGGCTGTCTCTGGCAGAGGACCATGCGCCAGGAGCTGTGACAAGCTGCGTCAGGCACCCGCTGTTGGGATGGGCTGCTCCGGTGAGCCAGGGTGTAGCTGCTGCTGCACTGACGCGCTGGGTTGCTCCCAGCCTGGATGGCAGAGGCTGCTTGATTTCTCTTTTTTTTTTAAAAAAAAAAAAAAAAAAAGCTATGGAGCTGTGTGATCCTGTGCCCTCAGACTGCAGAGGAAATGCTGAGAGACACGAGAGAGGGTGAAGAAGATTTCAAGGAGCCCTACAGGGAGCTCGGGCTGTCTGCCTGGTCAGGAAGGTGCCCTGGGATTTAGAGGAGCTGAGTACTGCTCTTACGGGGCATTTGAACATGACACAATGCAGCAGCAGGGAGACCTTGGTGCCGGGTCAGATGCAGACTGAACACATACATATTTGAGCCTGGAAGACAGGTTTTGGCTCTGGCAATGTTCTTTTCAGTATAACATGCCATTTTGTGTAGGTTCATGTTTGCACATTTCCAAGGAAGACCTGATTTTGCAGGTGATGTGTAGAGAAAGGAAGACGGCATCGTGTGGAGTGTAGAGTATTCTCGTGGCCCGGGGTGCAGTGATCTGATCCAGTGTCCCCAGGAGGCTCCTGGAAGCTAGGGATGCTAGTCTAGGGCCCGGAGCTCTATCTCGCTGGTTCTGTCACGGCTCAGTTACATGTTCAAGCAAGTCCCCAACCTCTTGTTGCCCCCTTCTTGCATTAGATGTTTGCCAGTGTCCCGGCTCCCCCAGGCTCTCCCAGGACATTCTCCCTGACTTCCTCTTCCAGATTTCATCCTAATGGTGCAGGGCATCCACATGCACGCCGCGAGGATCCAGTGGGGCCTGGTGATGTGCTTCCTCTGCTACTTTGGCACGTTTGCTGTGGAGTTCAGGCACTACAGATTTGAGATCGTTTGCTCTGAGTACCAGGAAAACTTCCTGAGCTTTTCCGAAAGTCTCTCCGAAGCCTCCGAGTACCAGACGGACCAGGTGTAGCCCATCCTCTAGCAGGGGGGCGGGGGGCTGGTGTGTTCTTAGGGGTTAAACATGACCACATTTATACTTTTTTGATGAGTTTGTTTTCCATGTGCAATCACAACCGTATTGCCAAAGGGCTCTGAGGGCAGCTGTCTCACTAAGAGCCAAACAGAAATACCCGTCGGATGGAAGAGGAACGGGACGTTTTGAACTGCAGTGTGAGGGAGCACCAAGTTATACTTCCAGTGACTCTTTCTCAGCAGCTGCCGCAGTCCCGCGGTTCAAGACGTGCAAGAGCCGGTCCTCGTGGTGCCTCCCTGAAGCCGGCACCCGGGGCTGTTCTGCAGCGGCAGCAATGAAGGGAAAGGACCTGTCTGGGCACGGCAAGTCCTGCAGAAGCCACCAGTTTCCAAGTCATTAGACCTCATCTTTTATGTACGTAGTGCTGTTTGTGTTGCTTTGGTTATGTGGAACTCGGTAGGGGCAAGAGAGTAGCCACTTGACCGACGCTGCCCCGTAGGCAGGCGGGTCGCGCACCCCGCGGCGAGGCCGACGTTCCCTGCTGCTGCAGGGCACCGCGCTCGCCGTCGCCTTCCAGGCTCCGCAGCTGGCACCGAGCAAAGGCACATGCTGAATCCAGACACACGCCCGAAAGCTGATCCAGGGAAGGCTGCTCTCTGTAAGAGTTTAGGGCTTCCACCACATAGCATAGCTAATGTTTCAAAATCCCCCCCTCCCCTTTTTTTTTTTCAATAGGGAAATTGTTGTTTTTAAGGACTTGCCCGCAATGGAAACATGTTGCGGGTGGGTTTTACGGAGTGGATTTGTTTTTGCCTCTTACACACTTAGAAGTCACATTCCGGAGACGTTGATGCCAGGCCTGGGCTCTGCTTTGGCTCCAGCCCTCCCAGGGCGGCCAGTTTTCCTGAGCAGGCTCTGCCACAAGCTCCAGATCTGAAGGTTGGAATTCCAAGGAGCACAGTCCCAGGAGGACACAGCACAGGAGCAGCATTTCCCCAGGGCTTGGGAAGTCTCAGGAAGGAACTAGGGAAAAGAGAAGAGCTTCTCTCTAAGGGCAAGAGAATTAGTCACTCCTTTCCTCTGAGCTGAACAACCAAAACCAAACAGTTTTATTGCTTGAATTGGTGCTTGAATTGCAAGGCTGGTTGAGTTCCACAAGCGAGGAACTTTTCCAGCAGACAGGTAGGCTGCTTTACCAAAGAAAAAGCAGCAGCACAAACCCCACGGCTGTAGCCTCCCCCAGGTTTGGGAAGGCTGCTGTGTTGGTTGGCAGAGCAGGGAGCTGGTTCACATTAGCATCACTCCTGTCTTTCCCCTGCAAGTGAGGCCGAGCTGAACTTTGCATCTGTTGGCTGAGCTGACAGGGGGCATCTTGTCATCGCTGCAGGAAAATCAGCAGAAATGAAAGTGGTGGCAGAAGACATTTGAGGGGTCCCACCCCACAGTGGCATTTCTGACAAAAGAAAGGGCACAGGGGACTTCAGGGCTCAGCAGGGGAGAGCAGGAGAGGATGAGGAAAGCTGTCAAAAACAGCACCAACAGGAAGCTTTCAGACTGCCCTTTACGTTGTACATCTTGGGCTGAAACTTGCTGCCGGGCAGCTCCACCGAACCAAGGGTGTCGGCTGGATTGCTACAGGTTCCCCCTCCTCCCTTCAGCTGCAGCGTTAGCGGGAAGCCTGTGCCGATCTGCACGGGGTGACGGCAGGGCCGCGGAAGGGGGGACACGAGGACACGGACGGGGATGCTCTTACACACACTCAGTGCATACGCAGCAGAGAACAGTGTTTTGTTTTAAAGGTGTTTTACTGTAAATAGGCCACTGTGACTTTCTTTTTAATCAAGTGCTATGTTCAGTTTTATCATTTTATATTTTAGAATTTTATCAAAGAAAAAAAATGATGTTTGTGATTTTTTTTTCCCTTTTCCTATATGCAATCCAAACTGAAATTCAGGTTTTTGGTGATAACTCAGTACATTTCTTACTGTATTTCTAACAGCACATTTCAGTACAGTAAAATGACTACTGCTACACACAGAAACATGACCACTAAATAAAGTGCTTTTATGGAGAAAGTGTGCTTTATTTTTCTCCCATACCCCATGCACAGTTTTATGATGGAAAAGGCAGAACAGAAGATGAGTATTTACACTGCCATGACACAAATTAACAGTAAAGAAGCCAGGGACTATTCAGCCATGCAGATACACTCATTGTAACAGTTGCTAATTAGCAGGCTTGTTCTAGGGAGCAGATCAGCCTCATTACACAGCCCATAAAGGCACTGCCTTGCCTGCTACCATCAGCATTTCAGAAAGACAGTGCTGGCATGATGCAGTTCCTCCCCAAATGCCTTTCTTGGGCTTGTTGTCTACACAACAGCCTCAACCTGGACATCGACAGACGTACATCGGCGTGTAGAAGAGTATTTGGATTCTGTTTTGGCCATCTCATTGCAGAGCTAGGAGTGCAGGCTCATGCCCAACTGTACAGAAACCAGGCACAATGTCCCAGCAGCAGGGAAGGGGGCCATAGGATTTCACATTGCCCCTGTTCCTGCCTTTGTTTGTTTCTGAACCTTCGTACCTTGTTGTACCTGTCTTGGAATTATAAGATGATTTGGGAGGTAGTGCTGCTTCCTCGGAAGGACAGGCTTGCCTGCCTTAAAGAACTGGACCAGGAAGGGTAAAGCAGAAGAAATGACGTGTTTATGGGCTTTAAAAATAAAGCTGCCTTTAAGTGATGGAGTCCCTGATAGACAGGAGAGCTAAATACTGCAACAGAGTGAACACAATGAAAGCAAACTGGCGTTTTCATTGACTACCGTAGGAAAAGCTCCATGAACATCTGGTATAAATTGGCACAATTCAGGCAGGGGTGTGCGAAAAAGTTTGGGTTTTAACTCTCAACAAATGCAGCAGGATGTGCCCATTACCAGCAATTCTGTATAAAGAGCTGCCCTCAGCTGCCTGGAGCAGGTGAGCCTCACTGCTGAGCAGCTGCTCAGTGTGTTATTGCTCAGGGGGCTAGTTCAGCAATGCAGCAGTGCTGACTTGGACCCTGCAGCCCAATAGCACTGGGTAGCACCGTGAGGTGGGTTTAGAATTTATTTTTTAAATATATATATGGACCTAACTTTGAAAGGGTTAGCTTAATGTGTGAGGCAGAAATGCCATCTTCAGGGTGAAGCTTGTTTTGCCTCATCATCCCCCCTGGAGGAAGGGGTATGCAAGCTCTGTTTGCAGAATGCTTTCAAGGAGGACGTTGCTCACAGTGGGGCTCCTCAGCACCAGGGTGCAATTAAGTGATGCGGAGGGAAGCCTCTGCTGGGCTAATTCCTACCTGGAAAGCGAAGGAAAAGCGACGTTCGTGGGCCTTGCTCCTCAGACTGCTCGCAGCTCTTGGCAGGCTTTTGCAGTCCTAGTGCATTAGGAACCCCCACACTGTTCTCTCTCTGCCCTAGTTGTGGGTCCAATACATAATGTGGGTTTGGCTTTAAATTCTGATTACTGACATAGTTAACTAAGGTTACACGAAGACAACTGAGGTGAAGCACAGTCTTCTGTGCGTGCACCTCCTTCCCTAAGTGGAGGAAGGCAGGAACAGTTCAGTGAAAGATGAGATGAGACTGTAATACGACTTCTCGTCATCCGTCAGCCCCGCGTTGCCAGGTCTGATGACCACAGCCACATGGGTATCCGCTTCCTCGGCGGCATTCGCTTCTGAAACAGAGAGAAGGGAGAGCAGGGATGAAAAATCTCCTAAAGTGCTGGGATGTTTTCTAAAGGCTGAGACTTACAAACGGGCTTTAGTATGTCGCACTGTAGGACTTTTGGGTCCTAGCCTAGCGCTGAGCAGATGCTCCCTGGGTGATGATAGCTGCTACATGAGCTGGCTGTCTCGCCATCCCCTCTTTGCTCTCTGCTTGTGCCTGTTCAAGGCACTGTGCAGGCAGCAAACACCTGCAGCTTGACTTGCATTGCCAAGAAGCTGCGCTGCAGCCGGGCAGCGGCGTTAGCAAAGCAAATGCCCTCAATGAGTCTAGAGCCAGGAAAAAAGCGTTCTGCATGCAGACAAGTGGTGGTTCTCCCTCCAGACCTGTCTCCAACTCCCTTTGGCCTCCTAAACCACTCTGTACCCACCACTGTTTCTCTCTCTGGAAGACTCACAACCTCCCTCAGGTACCCACCAGGTCACCCACCCGTAATTAGCTCCCCAGCAGCCTGGACGTGGTGTCCCGGTCGTGTCCCCTGCATGGTCTGCACACAGCTCTGGGGCATGTGGATGCAAAGGGGAATTGTGGCAGCTCTGCCAAGGCCCCATGAGGGATGTACTGCAGCCCAGCACAGAGAATGAGCTGCCCTGCTGCCGGGAGGGAAGAAGTTTTCCCTCAGTGCACAGTGTCACTCAGCTCTGCTGCTGTTTGAGGACCTGAAGCTTAAGGAAGGAGCAGGGCAGTGTGGCTAGGTGGATGCCATGGAAGCAAGGCAAGCTGCAGCGTTTGTGGGTGTTTGTTGCAAGTTAGCATCATGTGACTGAAGATCATCCTCCTCCTCCTCCCAACACGAGACCCTGCAGAACCAGCAGGCCACCTACCTCGAGGGACATCGGTCAAGAAGAGGATGTTATTAGTTGCACATCCGATACTCTCAGCAATCCTTCTGTAGCTCTCGCTTTCTACCTTGGGACCTATTCTGGTATCAAAGTGGCCATCAAAGAGCTAAAAGAGAAATGTAAAAGCAATTGCTGAATCTGAAGAGCAGAACTACAGGGAATTCCCTTTCATTCCCACCACAACAACGGGAACCAACAACCAGCTGTCAGCCCTGGCACTGAGCAGATCTGTGGGCAACGTGCTGCTTTTAACAGGATAGTGAGGAGGCAGAGCCACACAGAGAGAAGTTCCACAGAGCTTTTCTCATTGCCTTTAAGTTAGAGAGATGTTTGCGAGCTCTATGATACCAAGTGCTTGTCACCAATCCTTACGGCACTCTGCTCAGCTTGTCTTTTTCTGCAGGACTTTACAGAACGGGGATCATTTTTTAAATGGGAAATAAGTCTGAAATAGGACAACAGGTTGTCCCAAACCCCTGCCCTGCTGCTGAGTGCTGGACGCGCTTTCTGCTCTCACTGGTGGATACTGCGGGACGTAGACTGCAGTTAGAGTTCTCAGCTGGTGGAGCTACTCTCCACATCAAGTTTACCGCTGTTTTTCTACATGAGGCTCTGTTCTTAAAGGGGTAACAGCAAGAGCAGTCGTACCCTCCCAATCCTAGGATTGAACTGCTCTGCAGATGGAGAATCTGTAAGGCAAGTGATAATCTTATCTACCTCTAGAATATCACCTTCTGTAGAGTAGCCGAACAGGAGCTTCTGGGCTTCAACGCTCCCTGAGGAGTAGATATAGATCTTCATCCCTGCTTCTCTCCACTTCCGGATGGCAGGAACCACATCTTCAAAGACTCTGAAGCAAACCAGGAAAGTAGGTAAGGACAAACGCAGACACACCTTGGGGAGACAGCCTGAGCCATGGACTATGTAAAGTGGCCCATCGGTACCAATAAGGATTTCATCTTAAATCTGACCAATGCTTTCAGCATCCTGTAATATACTCTCAGCTCCAGCTGACCGAGTTGCTCATGGATGGCTACACAGACAGCAGCTCTGATGAGCTGTTCCAGATATTTGGCAGGAGCTTCTCCAGCCCCTTTGGTTTGAAGAGGGGAGGAAGGGCTTGGGAACGTGGCCTCTAGCCGCTGTTGTGCAGGAAGGAGGAATAAGGAGGAGGCAGACAGGGAATAAGACAAGCTCTTGCATCCTGCATCCCACCTGCCTGATGAGGTTTCATTTTTGGCACAAGTTATGCCTATAGGCTATGTATCTGAACAGGGTAAACCCATCCAAATGTGCATAGAGAGGGGATAAGATTCTACTACTCTAGGAACATAAAGTGCATAGTTAACCAAATGTCTTGGGATATAAATAAGAAGACAATGCTCAACTCTGTCAGTCCCTACTTATACACCCGTGGGTTACAACAAGGAGTCTGGAAGACAAAAAGAAGTGGAAAGGCAAGAGATCCTCAGGTAAGAGGAAAAAGCAGGTGGAAGTGAGTAAAGGAAATGACTCCTGTTTCATAGCAGCATTGGCCTGGCTTAAGTCACCATTGAAAGCAAACACACTTGCTTCTCTGCTTGGGTATTATTCTATTTTAATTTGTATGTGGGGCAGTTTCTGGATTTCATACAGGTATTCCAGGGAAAGGTTTCAAATGCCAAAGTTACTCACTCTCCTTTCACGTGTCCAGTTGCATAGGCCTCCCTCCACATGTGACCCTGCAGTTGCTTCAGTGCTGTGGTCTTTCTGTCCAGAGACATCTGCCAGCGCACGTTGTCTACGACAGCCTGGATGACCCGCTCCAGTTCCTCTTCCCCACTCCCGCTCTCCAGAGGAATTGGTACAACTCCATCCAGGCTGGAGTCCTCTAGAGCCTGGATTTCATGAGTCACAAAAAGAGGGGGGGAAGGAGCAAAGCGGTGTCAAGATATCAGTTTAGGATCCGTTTTCTCATACAGGCCTCCCACTGAGGCTATCTGCAGCACAGGGCCAGAATATGCTATCCCATGCAGGATAAGTCCTCTGCCAACTACTTTCCATGCTGCTTCCCAAACAGGTGCCCAGAGGCTGCCCGTGGCAGGCTGAGCAGGGAAAAGGCAGCGTGCAGACACCATGGTGAGCTGAGGGATGTGTCTCAGCTACCAGCCAAGCGGCCCATGCTCGTGCAGGACAACCCTGGGCCACCTCCCAGTCAGACAAGGGCAGGCTTTGCAGGGCACTTGCCTCCACAGGGGATGGAGAAGACGCCTTGGGTGCCCTGCAGAGACTGCAGAGGAGTTGGAGTGCCCTGAAGTCCCGAGTAGGCAGTAAAAACACATGAGGACACTCAGCCAACCAACCTGTTTCCGCAGCAGACCGACGTCCCGCTGGCACTCCTCTTCCTCCCAGTGCGCGCGCAGGTACTCCTTAATGTTGTCCTTAATGTAAGGGAACAAGGTGTCCTGGAAGCACATAACAAAACCAGGCAGCACATTTAATCGGACACAGGTAAGTTTTAAAGCCACCATGTGCACGTGATTTCTCCCAAACACACTTTTTCTACAGTGTCACAAAATGCAAAACCTTTTGCCCAAGTTGTATGTCTGCTTTCAGACCAACACTAACCTTGAACCACGCTTAGTACGTGAGGATTTTTTTCCAAAGAAAACTTTATGGGGGTGCTGCTTCTAAATCTCAGCGGGGAAAGCAGCTGGAGTGGCTTTAACAGCAGCAAAGTTCATTTGGAGAATGAGCAGGTGATCGTACCTTTTCCTGGACTTGTGTAAAAATGTTAACTCCCTCATATGACAGATGTGCTTGCGAGTTCCCACAAACTCGGGTTTTCAAGGCTGCCCGCTGACGTACTCCAAACCGACAAGTTATCCTGTTCTATTTTTAATGAGTCTCTTGTCCTCACCGAGGTCGTTCTGGAATGAAATTCAAGTTGGCACCCAAACTAGAGAACTGTGTGCATGGCGGCCTTGAGAAACAGTCTAGTTCAGTAACACCGAGCTCCACATGAAATACAATGAAAAATGCTTCTAAATGAAATAAAAGGGAGGTAGGAAAAATTGTAACATGCTTACAGGTAACCACAGCCATCTGGGATCTCAAGGGCAACCAGAAACAATTACAAATTATTTCCATTGCTGGTGTTTCTGTGGCAGCCGTGTGTGTTGGCAGATAACGCTCCTGGGCCAAGGAGCAGCCTTGGGACAGAAGGGTGGGCAGGGAGCTCCTTCCCTGATGGATGGGGGGATTGTTTTGAAACAGCACTAAGGGTTTGGCTCTGCTGCCCCAACCTGGATTTTTAAAAGATGAGAGCACACGTCAGCTTTTATGGGGAGAAGTATGACTGCCTGGACTTGATTTTGCTGGTAGACAGAAAAACATTAGTGAAGAGAGCTGGATTTATGGAGCTTTATTGGAACTAGGTAGACTTTGAAGAAAGCTTTTCTTCAAAGGATGTCATCGTCGCTCTTTTTTTATTTTTTCTTTAATCAGTTAGATAAAAGCATTTTTCCTTCAGTTTCTCATTCTTTGATACTTTGAATTTTCAGTGTTCGTCCCATCCACAGTGATACTGTCTCACTGCATAAAGAACTCAAGTGTAGAAAAAATGTAGGAGATGGAAGAGTAGGGAGAAAACTAAATGGATCTCTCCTGAAGCAGAAAATAAAAGGCCAATGCTATTTTTTTTATCCTCTCTGTATGTCACCTTTAATATTGTCACAGAGCAGAGAACGATCTGATGTGAGTTACCTTCATTTTAATGCCACCTTTTCAGTCAGCTGAGGTCCAGGTACTATTTGCCACACTTGCAAACTGAAGCTTCTCTGTGATGCACAGGGGCAGAAAACTGGACCAACTTTTAATTAGAAGAATGGTCTGAAATACCCACGTGTATTATTTAATTTTTTTTAAAGTGTTCCTGAGAGCAGTCCATAGCAATAAGATTATTTGATTTTTTTTAATCATTAAAATGCTGCATATTTCAAAAGCAGTGTAAATGTGGAGAGGAAAAGAAAATCTTTTTATAAGCCAAAAAAAAAAAAAAAACCCACAAAATTGCCTAAGGAAATTGGCAGTCTTGTCATACCCGATCCTGCTTTCTCATTTCCTTTTTATCTGAGCTCAGTAAGTTTCAAGGTATCTTTTAGATTTGTTAGGAAATCAGAAAGTATTCGTGGAGAAAGTGAACTGACACCATGCCATGATGTTGTACTGGGGTTTCTTTTTAGTGGCTGAAATAGGGGTGAGCGGGTGGCACTGCTTATTATGAGTCATTTGCTAGAGAGAACAAGACAAGCCCGTGCCCAGTGAAAGCAGACCAGAAAGAAAACATAGGCAGCAAGTCCCAAGATCTTTTCCTGGTAAGTAGACTGGTATCCCGTTTGTTACTAGAAATAAATTAACCACTGGAATGTAAAATGCCCAGTCTGAATCAAATGCTACCTTGGTTTTGTAGGCGAGTTTCCTGCTGCTACCTGGGGAGGCTGCACTGCAGGGAACAGCAGCTCTGCAGGCATTAGCTAAGCATGAGGTCTTTAGGGGACTGAATTAAAACCAGATTAATTGTATTTGTAGCTGAAAACTTAAGCAAAAGGGGGATAAGAAGGTTACAATTAAGCCTGTGGGGAGGAAGAGGACAGAGGTATGTATAGCCTGAGAGAACAGTTTGGAAATATTCATGAGTGGGTGAAAGCTCTGCTATATTCAGTGTATTCAGTGACTGAGTGGATTATAAGTGCTGGAAGCTGAACTGAAGTGCACACTGTTGGTAAATGTGTTGCTCTGTGGTCAGAGAAATGATATCTGTGTGAAAATTACAATGATGAGCAGCATGTGACAGATCACTTACAAAGTTCGAGGCTGACCCTAGAAAAATGGTCCTCTGAGTTTCAAAGGCTGTGAGTTTGTGTAGAAGAATGACTCCTGGCATCCTATAAAACAGTCTATTTTACCAAGGCCTTGGCTTTCAAGAGGTCTCTCGCTGGTAGTTGGAAACGGTTAATGGGCTGCTCTAAAGCTCAGTAAAGGGGCCCAGTTCTTTCATTTTGGATAGCAGGAGAGGCAGACGCGCGCAAGGCCGAGCTCCGTACAGCCCCGTCCGTGAGACCTGCGCGCACCGGGCAGCTCGAGCCGGGCGCCTCCGCAAAGCCAGATCCCTGCACACACACAGGTCGCGGGACAGCGAAACGGCTCTGAGCGAGGACAGCTCCGCTGGCTTCCCACCCCATCCCAACTGCTTACTGCGACGTTAAGCCAGGTAATAAGGAAGGTTTGTTCTCCGCGGGATATTCCAGCAGCACGCTGTGATTAGTGCCTGGAGGCTTTCAAGCAACCAAGCTCAGAGTCTGCATGGATAGCGAAGGCCAAATCCCCCAAGACCGATAACAACAGGCTCTTCAAGAAGAAATCTGGCCAACGCACGAGGCTAGTTGAGGCTCCAGGATCAACCAGCTAAACCCTAGTTTACCAAATTACACCTCTCCCCGGCCATCTGCTTTCTCTGCCACTGCGGATCCAGGAAAAAAAAAAAGATTAAAAAATCCATCCCCCCCACAAAAACCCACACTTTGTTAGCATTAACACACAAAAGATAGAGGCCTAACACCTCTGCTTAATCCACATAAATTCAAATAGACACCCTATTTTATTTTGTTACCTTTTCGTATTCAAAATTCTAAATGCCTGCATTCAAATTATTACTAAATGCCTAAATTCAAAATTAATAATGCCTGCAGGAAAAAGAGTGGACCTTTTGAAGGAACAACAAAAATAACAGGCCCAGTAAAACAAACTGCTTCAGGTGTCCTCAGGATTTTCAGTGAGTTGGGAGCCATAATTCATTTGCCTCCCTGTAATGCAAAGACTTCAGCCAGGAAGCTTTCTCAGGCATATTGCAGGTATCAGTTACTAGTGTGACACCAAACTGGCTCCTGGGTTTGTAAGCAGCAGAAGGTTGTAAGCAACTTCCTCCCTCTGTTACATTATGTGAATCATTGAATCTGTTTAAATTAGGAGATGTCAAAGGAAGGGAATCAGCTGTAACACCATCTAAATTTGTAGTCTTATTTCCAGGACACTAGAAGAACATAGAAAGGAAATATGTAGGTCATATTGCTCAGCCATTGAACTGTGTTAACAGAAAGACCTAGAAAAGTCTTGCAAGCGCATTCACCCTCCAAACATTATGTGGGTCATGAAGCATCCTCCCCTACTCTAAAGAAAAACATGAAGTATCGGCAGAAAACACCCACCCAAAGCACTAAGATGCCATAGAGATGAACGCTGAGGGCAGGAGCAGTCTTAATATCACAAACCCAGTGTCTTGAATGCCAGGGAATTCCTCCCTTCTACGCAGGGCATGGCAGACACTCGCTCCGTGAAGACCCGCAAGCCTCTGGGAGAGAAAGGGCCCGCAACTGCGAGGAATCTGTACTTTAGAACAGCCTATTTTTGGACTTAGTTTGTCCAGACACCCTGCCCTGACCTAAACAAGCCCTGTAACAACCTCTTGGCCTCCTCTGCGGAAAGTCACCCATGCGCCAGTAACGTACACTCCACTTGTTCCTTGTGTTGCCTTCCCTGTGTGTTGGAGCTCTGACCCATGCACGTAGGGGGGAAAAAAATGTGTATAAATCTCAGCTGAGTCTTGCCCTTGCAAAAGGAAAAGGCAGGCGATAACCCAGGGCTGTGATTTCAGGCTCTCCCCAGATTCACGTGAGCTGCTGCAGCTCCAGCTGGATTTGCACTAGGAAAGGACTCCTAGCGCTACCAAGGCGTTTAAGGACTCTCAAATACATCCATATTAAATACTGAGCTACCCTGCATTAGTTCCTTATAGCCTTGGCCTCAGGAAAAAAAGCGAATAATCCACAGGAGGCAGGAGCAGCATTTGGTGAGTGACGCCCAGCACCACGGCCAAGGCAGAAGGCTTTTCCCCTTGCTCGGGAGCTTCTCTTGAACACAGACTTCTGCTTCCCAAGTGGGTTACGCTCACCTTGCGGAGGCCAGGGGGCTTTTAGGTGCCTAGGCCAAGAAGGAGGGTGAAGGGACAGTTCCCTCAAAACTTAGAGCAACCCCATTTTTTTGGAATAGAGCAAGTCCAAAGGCAGCTACGGGCTTGCCTTCCTTCAGATCGAACCCTCCCTTCAAAACGGCGAGGCTTTTATTTCTTAAATCCGCCCCGCCAGAAGGTATTTTCTCCCCAGAAGAAGCAAGAAGGAAAAGCGCAGAGCAGCAGCGTGTCCCGCAGCCCCGCGCAACCTCCGCGCCGACCCACGTGGAGGGAGAGAGATGGAAAAAAATGGGCGAGACCGGCCGGTAAAATAAAACTAAATAAT